TGTGCAGCCTGATCCAGTCTCCTACTTGACACTCTTCTGCTCTTCTTGTTGGACTCTCTCCTTACCTGTTGTCCTCCTTACGTTTCCTCACAGACCTGCTGATATTGTTGCCCACATGGTCTTTGCATACCCTCTGGAGCAGCTGCTTTTCATTCTTTGTAACCACAGGTATAATAATAAGGAGGATGATGCTACTAGAAGAGTGGGAAGGCTGGCACAAAAATGTTTCATGATAGTTATGGATGGTCAATAAGAACTGAAAAAGTTGATGAAAAGGAAGGAGAGATGATTCTTTGGAATCCTAAGGACTTAAATGACTACTTTTCATAAAATAAGTTGTTTGAGCACTACCTCATTCGCAAACTGATGTGGAAATAGACTTTTTTTTTCCTTACCATTTTAAATTTGCTTAACTGAATCATGAATTATTTAGTGCTAGGCAGAAACGAAAACTCAGTTCAACAGAAATGATGCATGCATGAACTTGCATCAAATTTTCATACTGGTTTTCTCAGAAAGAATTGTGAAAATGTTGGTTGGTCTTGGGTATAAAGGATTTGTTTTAATATGCTTATCCTCTTAAAATTCACCGTTTAAAATCTACTTTTGTGATGGTTTTGCAAATTTCCAAAATTAAATATTGTTGGTGGGTTTGGTTTGTTTTGTTTGGCTTTATTTATTTATTTTTTTCTCTGTGTTTTTTTTCTTTTCCTTAACACCCCCCTGCTCCCCTCAATGAAATGTTTATTTTTGCCATAAGAACTGGGAACATACGCATTTTGGTCAATCCTGAAATTAATTTCAGTGCCTATTTTCAGACCGTTATTGAAAAATAAATTATTTATAAAGCTCTATAATATTTTTGTAAGGTAAAGTGCTGCAAGTTCCTTTTATTAATTATACCTGAGATGATAGTTTTCTATATTTAATGTTTCTCAGATTTTTTCTAAAGCCAACTACCACCATCAACAGAGCAGTTTAAGGCTTCATTGCATAGTATGCAGGAAAACCGTGAAGAGTTCTTCAAAGCATATAAACATAGTGGGTTTTACTCTAACTGCAACAACACATGATGGAAAGCAAAATTTCAGAGGCATATTTGGAACCCAATATACAGTATAAAACTAAATACTTGAGATAGCTTGATTATACATAAGCAATCAGAACCCATCATGGCTTTTACATTCATGTGGCAGGGCTAGCTCATAAAAGAACTCAAATTATAAACTGAACATATTTGCTATGGAACAATCAAGAGAATGTAATCATGACCTTTGGAAACGATTTTCACACTAACATTTTTAGATCTGGAATGTATTTCCAAGTTTCTCTCTCAAAGCAACTTAGTGTATATGTGACACCTGGATCTTTAGTTTGTAAGCATCTATGTTTTACCTTTTTTATCTGAATTATCCTTTTGAAAATATAAATTGGGATTTTATATTTTGTACAAATGTACAAAACTAAATGTACAAAAAAAGCATTTCTAACATTTTTCATATTGTTATGAAAACCAGACCCCATCTTGCAAGTAAGGATTTCCTAGTAAAAGACTAGGGAAAAAAAAAAAACTGCACAAGAAAACACAACCCTATTTCTGGGTAGTTGCTCTTTCTGCTAAGAGTTAGATCCACAACATAATATCACCAAGTTAATACATGGGTTTGAATATAATAGCTTATTATCATGGCCCCATCAAAGATTTCCCAGATCTGCAACAGCACTTAAAGTCTAACTAAGTTTGGAACTTATTTTTAAATCAGTACAGCTGAGATGTCTGACGACCTCTGTAAATCTGGGCTGAAATGATTATTACCTCTCACAGAAATTCTGGTAAGAGGTGGCATTCAAATAATTTCTGATAAAAGGATTTTTTACAAACATATTTTATATATGCTTTTAAGGAAGTTATTCTTTCATCAGCAACACAGCAACAGTGTGAAAGGCTGCAGATACAGTGATCTTCCTCTAGTATTAAAAAGTGACTATTATTCAAGTGAAGGATTCACGGACCTAGCACTGAAGGAGCTACAGACAGCACTTAAGGCTGTCTTGTCTTTATGCCTTTTTCTAATAGTTCACAAAGGAGTTTGTACAATCAATGTACTGTTGTGCACTAAGACCCTTCTCTGTACTCAGGCGAAAGTCACATTTGAAAGCTCAAAAGGGCTTCTGCTAATTGTAGAATCATAGAAGGGTCATCTGGGCCCGGTTGGAAGGGTCATCTGGGCCAACCTTCCTTGGCAAAAACATGGTCTAGATTAGATGGCCCAGCACGCTGTCCATCTGAATATTGAAGTTGTCCAGCTGGGGAATCTAACACTTCCCTGGTTATTCCAATGACTGATTGTTCTCATTGTGAAATAGAGGGCAGCATCAGGAACCTAAAGTAATAGGAAAAGATGCATTTGAAATGAGGCCTCAAATGCTGTGTTTCTTTTACAGTGTATCTCCATATCTAATCCAAACAGAACTAATCTGATGTGAAAAATGGAGAGGATGTTGCAAAACTGTTCAGTCATATAATAAGGAGATTAGCTCTATGGGAAATAGTGTCTGTCATGAATTCATCTGACTGGAGAGAATTCAGATAGAAAGCTTTAATAAGGTTTTTTTTTTAGGCTAGTAATGAAATCTAGGATGGCTAACACTACATCTAGATTGTGTGAAAGTATATGTGCATCTTGACATTTTAAAGTAATATTCTAAGCTATATAGGGTCTGTCTAGAGTTATGGCTTAGAAAAAAATCCAACACATTAGATTTTTTAATCATGAGTTATTAGTATTATACAGTTTCTGTTATAGTAAAAGAAAGCTCAGGATAGAGTCTGAGTAGCTGTTCTAAATGCTTCCCAATATGCGGAAAGATCCTGTTGGTTTGAATGGGCAACACTCGGGTGGCTGTAGGAGCCTGAAAAAACATAGAAAAGCAAATACTGCATTCAGTATAGTTCATCTAATTTTTCCTGGGGTCTACAGATTCAAAGAATCTGTAGCCTTAGGCTTTAAATTACTATATAGCAAAAAGGAGGGCAGTACACAGGAGCTTCCAGCATGTGGTACAGCCTTGGGATCTTTGTCAACACGTGTACCTGTTTGTTTACATAAGGTGGAGAAATACTTGCAAATACAAACTTGCAAATGATAGTAATACCAGGATTACACTTTGTATTCTTACTTTCTTGTAAAGATCTTAGTTAGTCTTACAATATAAGCTGCACTGTTGTAATTCTAAATGCTTCCTTTAAGAGACAGTTTTTTTCTCCCTTTTAATCACATTTAATAATACTGCAATGCCTGGGAACGGTCTAGATTAAATTGGCTAACCCTGTTGTGGGATGCTAGTAAATGTAAGGAATATAGAATTTAGCTCAATTTGGTGTGAATCAACATTTTTTTGCACCACGTAACACATTACAAATAGGTTTTGTGATTATTTGTATGCTTCTTGTTTTGGGTAAAGCAGACCAACCTTTAGAATGAGAATGTAACGCCAAATTTTTTTCAATACAAAAGGTTCTAAAGGGTTGTTATTAAGAGGATGGATTAATTCTTTGGGTTAAATATAATCCATTTACCTGTATGTTCCCTAGCTCAGTAAAGCTACTTGAAGAATTTTTTTATAAAATGAGAAAAAATGGTTTAATAACAGAGAAAGTCATCTCTGACAAGCACAAGGAATGGATGGCAGCTGGAAGAAGTTATAAGCTAGTAAAAGTAAGCAGGCAGAATGAAATCTGCAGTTCTTTCCAAAGCAGACAGTATTATAAGTAAAATGTTGTATAGAAAGACATGTTTTTGTACAGCAGTGTAATCATGCAGTGGCTCTGAGTATGTTTGGGGTCTTCTAAACTGCTTTGTGTGTATGTGTGTGAACAAGATTACTGAAAAAATTGCACATAAGCATGACAGTCTCCGTCTCTCAGTGACTGCAACTGTATCTATATTTAGATTTTTTAGATATATGGTGATGGTGTGATTATGGTAATTAATTTGATCAGAAAAAAAAACAAACAACTGGCTTTATGTCTTGGATTTGCATGCAATCAGTACGCCACAAAAGAATATCTGGATTTGTAAAGTATATTTCTGAAAAGAAGAAATAGAAACCTTGTTATAGTATGATAAATTTCCATTAATCAAAAAATTAATCCCATAGCCCTGACTGTAATGCTTCTAGACTTTCTGCAGAGGTCAAGTTGTCCTCTTTAAAGACAGGTGGACAACAGGACCCTGATCACATCCAAAAGTAGATCAGCACAAGCTTATCTAGGTGCTCCAATAGGATCTTGGTAGGGTGGTTAAAAAGACCTGTCTGACAACATACTTAAGTCACATCAGAAATTTGTTATATCTGCCATGTAAGAGCTTATTTTAACACCTACACTGACTATTCATGCTTAAGCAGAGATGTAGACGGATTACCTCCCTTCCCAGCTTTTTTTTCTAAACATAAAAACTTCCTATCATCCTAAGCATACCTTTGTGCAGAGAGGCTATTGCTGACTTTATCTAAAACAAACTTCAGGGTAGGCTTACGTTTGGCAACATGGAATGCTAATTTCCTAAGGCTGTGAAGAATCCAAGCTGCTCTTTTGATATACTAGATCCCAGTTATTCTACTGCACATATTATATATGATTTCATCTGAAAATTCCTATATGGCTCCTTAGTAGCATGTGCTTCTGGGAAAGAAAGGAGCCATAGCATTCCTGGTACCCAAGATGCCATTTTCTTTTGTCATTAAGCTCTAAGAATTCTGATAGTAGACCACTCATCTGGCTAAAATCAGATTTGTCATCTCTTTCTGCTGCTTTTCCTTTTCCTTTTAAAATTCATCATCGCTATTTGTTTCATAAAAATTTCTATGGATAAAAGACAGACTTTGTTTCAGGCTATTTGTTGATATAATTTTAATTATGGGATAGATTTGTCTTTGTGGCAATATGTACAGAACAAAGCCTGAGAAGATGCTTGTTTACTTCATCTCTTGCAAAGGTTCTTGGTGTGGAATCAGAGTGATACTCTACCTACCCACCTCCACTTCATCTGACATGAATAGAAGTATCTAACACAGCTCTGAACTCAGGAAGTATTACCTGGTTCTATATGCAACTGAGATAAAGTGGAATTAATTTCCAAGGCCATACCAAAGAATCTTTTACAGGGTAGGTTGCAGATTTGCTCCAGGGCCTTTGTTATGAGTTTATTACTACCAAATTTCTAAGAATCTGTTAAATTAGTAGCATTACAAAATTTCTGCTTGATCTTTTTAACTTCTTCTTTATGGGCAGAAAATCTGAATCAAAGTCACACTGTCTCCTCCTGTTTGTCAAGTCTGCAAGTACTAATTTAAGTGATAACTACAAGAGCTGAAGTAGTTGCCTGTGAGACAGCAACTTTGAAATTTCACAACAGTACTGTTTCAAATGTCACACTTGTTAACTGTTGAAGTAAAGATTTCTAACTTCTTCATCTATGGTAGAAAAACCCTGTGATTTTGCAATCCGGTATCTTTTGCATTAACACTGATGTAGTATGACAAGTTTCCTGAGGCTTATAGACTCCGGCACTTGTCTGGATTTAAAAAAGGAGTAACCCCCTAACCCATCCTTGACAAGACAGTTTGTAATTCTTTCAGGATTACAGGAAGACTGCTTGTGTGAGTTATGAGTTCTATTTGTAATCTGCATTTTCCACTGCCATAATAGTTTTTAATTTATGAAAAAATAAGCAGAATTGTTCACTATAGCTGCATATGATCTGCTATCTTTCTCTCATATAGCAAAAAACTTCTTGCAAGATGAACTTTGTCAGTGATGGAAAGTTTTAAGTTCATACTAGAGGGATGCTTTAAAATACTATATAAATTTATATAAATTTACAAAATTATATAAAATTTCTAGATTATAAATTGATTTTATTAGGATTTACCAAGAATATATTTAATTGATTTTAATACTTCTGTGATTTTTCTATATGGTGTTTATAATCATATTTTGCTAGTATAATTTTATTTAATTGACCTTTTGAAGTATTCTAATATGGAGTTTAGTAGGTAGGAATTCTTAAAAATCCTTTTTAGTAATGTGAAACAAATGAAAGATCAAAGATTTAAAAATTAACAGGAGAATGATGAAGTAATTCCACATATTTGAAAATGTGTATGTTGAAAAAGTGCTGAAATGTGAAATATTAAAAGTGACAGTGTAACATTTTCATCCACACCAAAAAAAGTTTGTAACTTTTAGTATAATCTTTAATGAAATTAGCTGTCTATAAACGGAAGCTTTTAGGAAATGTCAAATAGTAACAGATTGAGAGACAAATGCTAAAATCAAGGAAAGAAACTTCTGATAAAAGAACTGTCATGCAGGTTTCTGTTGCCTAAAGCAGAATGAACTTCTGATAAGAGTGTCAACTTTCAGTGGTACCACCCAAATTGGAACAGATCCTGACAAACTTGCTCAAGATTAGAACTGTCCATAGACTGATTTATTCAAGATAGCAAGGACAATTCTGTTAAGACCTGCCAAATTTAAACCCTGAGCAATCCGTTCACGCCCTGCACAGAGTGACAAATAGAACTGTAATTAAGCATGCAGCAGTTCTGTTCTTTGCTCTCCAAAAACGCAGGATTCGCACTCAGCCAAAGGCTTTTAAGTTCTTGTTGAAGTCTACCAAGAGCATGTCTTCCTTTTTGACAAGACTTGAAAAATGACAGGTGTGCTTGTGTGTTCTTTTTTCTCTGCAGATGGCCAGGTTTTCTGTTTGGAAACCTTTACCCGTTTCACTGGATAGATGGCTTTATTCTGACTCTATATGTTACTTAGCATAATGTGGTTACAGTTCCTCTGTTTTTTCACATGTGCTATTTTAACACAAAGAAAACATACAAATGTGCCTTCCATACTTCTTAATGAAATATTTATTTATTTTAAACAAAAACCCCAACATGCAATAAAAAGTTGTGGCTAAAATTACTGTCTTGATCACAACACTACTTCATTCCTAGAAGCCAGAGACCATCCAACCAGCCTGAGATACTGAAGGGTTGAGGCAGCCATTCATGAACCATACTGCAGGTAAGACCACAGCCCACTGAAGAAACAGAGAAGCTATTATGTTTTGTAAATAATGAGCTAAAGAAACTGAGCTCCCAGTTATGTAAGACTGTGTTATTTTTAACATTTCAAACCACCCAAGGCACTTTATTTTCATCTCAGACGGATGACAAACCACCCTGTACAGGTAGCTGGTGACATGTACCCGGTACATGTCCTCAACATGTTGGTGACAGCGTTGTGTCCAAAATGACCCCTCATTATCAGTTATGGGTGCCAAGACCTGGTAACTTGTTGCAAGCATTAAGTAAAATCCTTGTTGATCTGATACTACCAGCATAATTTATAGATGTTAAAGGAAAAAAATCCTACCACCACACAATGATAATACAAAAGAAGAAAAAAACTCTCAGAAGTCTGCAAGAAGAATCGAGAATGTTCACAGCACTTCCTGTCTCTAACACTTAAATATTTAAATGTGCTGATATCAAGCTCAAGAAAAGCACAAACTTGGCATGTAATTTAAAATTCAGAATCTTTAACAATTTGTTCCTGAATTTTCTGTGAGATCACCAAATATCCAAACCTAAGTAGCTAACTAGTCTGTTTACTTGTGATTATATGAGATCCATAGATTTCAGAAGAGACTGAGAAGTAATTAAAAACATTATTCATTCATTTCTAGGTTAAAAAGAATGCCTTTCAATGTGATGGAAGGCTTGAATGTGTAATTTTTTTTTTAGTCCAACTATCACAGCAAACAATATTGTTTGGACTGACGGTTTTGGCAAGACTTTTAACTCATGAGAGTACCTGAATAACAAGCAGCATGTGCTTTTACTCACTCTTCTGGAAGCAGCCTGAGAAAGGAACTTTTATTTTCCTTGATTTTAACAATAGCTGTTATTCTTTGCCTCCTTCTATATAGCATCCACTCCAGCCTCTTTCCAAAACCCTAAAATTCTGGGAACATGAAGTGGAGATAGGAGGAACTAAGTGTGTACGGTTTAGACTTCCTCCTTTTTTTATGCATGTATAAAGCCAGCCCTGATCAGATTAATAAAAAAACTTACGTTATTTATTTGTACACTATTTACACTGATGTTGTTAGCATAAAAATTAAATGCTGTCACTTGCAGCTTTCATTACTAACAAAAACTTAATCATTCTTTAAAAGATTTGTACTAAGGGACTTTGTTACAATGAGTTTTTGCAGAACATTCAGTAACAAAATACCCGTGATGCTGCTTACATTGCTGTATGTTGAAGAATTTCATTAATCAGCTGCCAGGTACCTGTATCTGATGCAATTACGATGTGCTCCTATTAATTCCTGTAACTTCAATATTTCCTTTTTAGATAAAACTAATATTATTTCAGTGTACTTCAGAGAAAGTTTCTGACCTTTTTTTTTCCTCACAGTCTAAACGGAGATTTCAGGTGATACTCTGAAAGGATTCAGAATGGCCACTAACACTGTATTTAGAGAGAGAACTGGGATTTTCTTCGAGAATAGTTTTGCATGTGAGTAATTCACTTATCTGCATTGCCAAGCTTCTGGATTCTGGTTCTTCCCTTTACAAATAAGCAGCACAGTATATTTGTGGTATATTTCATATGAAGGCACACTGGAAAATGTAGCTGTCTATTCTTTGAATCTATTCTAGCTTATTGTTGAGGTCATTGATGTAATCTGTAAATAACTTAAAAGGAAGTACAAAGGAAAATACTTTCTGTCTGAAAGTGATGGGGCTTTTTTCTCTCTATATTCAAATGGCCAATTTAAATATTAATATTACAAGACTGGGTTATTTTACAAATAAATATAAAAATAGGTTATAAGCATGTGGTGAATCTGAGTTACAGAACCATTTTCTGAAGAAAAAAACTTGATCTTCTATATTTTATTTCCATTTACTCTTCTGTTCTTCTCTATTCTAGTAATCTGCCTGCTCTTTTCAGGATTCTGCCTGCAGATTGCAAGAACCGGTAACATGTTGCACTGTTACCCTAGATCCTGGGAACTCATCCTTCTATAAGGTAAAATCATTCAGAGAAACTCACTGAAGTGTTTTGTTCATTTTTAGCTTTTGTCTGACAGTAGACTGGCTTCAAGCAAGCTGATAAAAGAACTTTAATAAATCATATATACTATTTGCTTTTTCTTTTTTTTCCTGTCTTCATACATCTCTTTCTTCCTAATTAAATTTCTAAAATAATAAAGTGGAATGTATATATATGCAGGAATGTATTTTTAGTGTAGAATTTGGTAATATGTATTTTCCTAATTTAAGTTAAATCAGTCAGAAGTACAGCTGTTTGCTCCTCCTCAGCTTGCATCAGTATCTTTGTGCTTTCATTTTTTTTTTCTTGTGGTTTTGTTCAGAAGACCATTCAAATAGAAAAATTATTTTTTCTAATTAATGTTTTAGATCCTTTGGTGGTAAGTTTTTAATTGCCAAACAGCTGAATACCACAAACACTGTAGGTGATGCGCTCCCACGTTATCAAATAAATGTTCAAGGTACAGCTTATGATGTTGAAAAATAGAAAAATAAATTGACCTTGATGAAGTGTGTCTTCTTTTGTCTGTTCCCAGGAAAGTTTATTTCAGGTATTTCTACTGCTGAAATGATTAGAGTTAACAGCTTTTTCCCTCCATTTTATTTTACAGGGTCTCTTCATCTTCCTGATATATGGGGTGTACAACACAGAGGTAAGTCTGCTTGGAGTATCTCAAGGCTGACAGAGTGAATGAGAGAAATGACAGGTTTCTTATCTTGATAACTGAGGGACAAAGTTGGCTTTCCATATGAGTGTCCTACTGCCCTTCATGCTTGGACTAGCTTATATGCATCCCAGCTTACCATTAAACACAGACACCCTCAATAAAGGGACAGACTCATTTCTCATAGGCATTGACTAATATTTTACTGCTGCTTTAAGTTTTTTGAATTTCAGGTCTGCCTTTTAACACTTAGCTAAACCTGACAGTCCAAACTTTCATCATCTAATCTACATTTTAAAATGAACTGTGAGTTTACATGCTAATTAAGCTCTTTCAGTTATAACGGGAACAAATTTTACTTACTTCAAAATTTTGCTGGGTATAAAAAAACTGCATGAAATTGGTCTATGGGGAAAGCACTTGATCTTTGCAGGTTGAACTGTCGAAAGGGGAAATAATTTTGACAGATAAAGCATTAAAAAAAGGAAATAAAATGAATTTATGCACCTTGTTAAGTTACCTCCACTATGTTAATGATAAAAATTATTGTTAATATGTTCAATTCCAAGTTTTTAAGCTAAGGTACCTCTGCAGTTTACATTTTAACAGAATTTGGAATTCAGTAGTAAAACCCCATAGAAATGGAAAAGATTTTCAAAGTCAGTGATTAGAATTGAAGCCGAATTCTATTCAGATTTTCTTACCATTCAAGGGCTCATACCCTATTAGAAAATAACTTTCACCAAAAAAAAAAAGCTATTTCAAAATAATGAACCTTTGATCTTGGTTGTGGTATTATTTCTGTATATGCAGCTAAACCCACAAGCATCATTGGTAGCGTGGGGTTTGTTGAAATAGTGGGCCATAGGATAAAATTACAGAATCATAGAATGGTCAGAGTTGGAAAGGACCTTAAGATCATCTAGTTCCAACCCCCTTCTGAGGGCAGGGATAGCTCATGTTGCCCAAGGCTCCATCCAACATGGCCTTGAACACCGCCAGAGAGGGATCCTGTACTTGAGGACCACGGTGGGAAGCCGTGCTGGTGCACCAGCTCACCAGTGCGCACTTACTGTGACAGTGCTGTGCTCGCTGTGCTCTCGGCTGGCACAAGGTTGAGTTGTGTGGACGCACTGGCCAGCCTTAAATTTAAGCTTGCAGCACCGGTGTGCAAACTGCGTGTGAAGCACAACCCACTGACAAACCACCCTGAAGTATTTCGTTTCTTATTGGCAGTACCTCACTTGTGATAGCAGCTTTGTTGACTCTGTGGCATTAAATGCAACGAATGGCATTGTTTTGAGATGAAAGTAGCAATGGCCACCTTACAATCTTTGCTAAAAGCCTCAGCATCCCGGCATTTGCATCATTTCAGTCAGAGCGCCCATCGCACAGGCGCTGCGCACATCGGATGCTTTGCACGTACTCGGGCTGGGCGATGACATTAGCACGGGCGAGGCTGCACCTGTGACCGCGAATACCAGTCGAGCCTGTCCCGCGGCGGGAAAGCCGGCGTGCGCCCGGTCCCGTTAGCCCCGCGAGCAGCGCGGGGGCCGGTACCGCGATGTGCCGGTTAGCGAGTACCGCACGTGGAAACCGCAGCGCTCTTTGATGGCAGGAAGGATGTCGCTTGCGCTACTCATAGACCTGCGGCGGCACGTCTGAGGCCTCCCCCTACAACCTCGCCGTGGCGCTGCCCGGGGCTTCCACCTTGCCCGTGCGGCGGAGCCGCGCCTCCGGCTGCTCGCGACCGACACCCCGGGGCAAACGGGGCGCCGAGGCGCACCCTGCCCACGCGAGCGCGGCGCCTACGGGCGGGAGCGACCGCGTCGCGCCTGCGCGGTGCTGGCCCGCTGGCTGCCCGTGCGGCCGGGCCGTACCCAGCGTGCCGCGCGGCGCGCATGTGCAGTGCCGGGCGCAGAGGCTGCTAATTCCATTGTGGAGCGGACGCGGCGTTATTTTTAACTGGAGGCGGCGGCGGGAGCCGTAAGTGTAGCCCGGGCCGGGGGCCGCCCGTCGGCGCGGGTGGGGGTGGCGGCGATGCGCCCGGGCGGCGGCTGTAGGGCCGCCGCGGGAGCCAGCCGTTGAAGCGGGCGCCCGCCAGCGAGGCAGCGAGCGGTGTCCGGCGGGCGGGCGGGCGGCGGGTCCCGCAGCCCCTCTGGGCCGCGCCTCCTCTCCGGCCCGCCTTCCCGGGGGATGAAACTCGGCAGCGGTTTCCTCGGCGGCGGCGGCGGCGGCGGCAGCGGCAGCAGCAGCAGCAAGAGGGCGGCGGCTATGGAGCCCAGCTTTACCCCCGGCATGGTTATGTTCAACCACCGCCTGCCCCCGGTCACCAGCTTCACCCGGGCGGCCGCGCCCCCCCCGGCGGCCCAGCACCCCCCGCAGTGCGTGTTACCTCCGGCCTCCGCCGCCGCTTCCTCCGCGGCGGCGGCCGAGCCACCGGCGCCTCCTCCCCCTCAGGACATGACTTTCAAGAAGGAGCCGGCGGGGGCTTTCCCTTCCGTGCCCTCCTCCTCGCAGAGGAGCCCCTGGGGCTTTCTGCAGTCCCTAGTGAGCATCAAGCAAGAGAAGCCCAGCGAGCAGGAGGAGGAGGAGCAGCAGCCGCAGCATCACCACCACTATGGGGGGCTCTTTGGGGGAGTGGGGGAGGAGAGGTCCCCTGGCCTAGGGAGCGGCGGCGGCGGCGGCAGCAGTGAAGGAACCGGCCAGAGTGTGATTCAGGACCTCAGCCTTCTTCACCACCTGCACCAGCATCCCCACCGAGAGCTGTTACTGAGTGGCAGAGGCGAGGGCACCCCTGGGAGCTCGGGTGAGCCAAAGCACGATGCCCAGGTCAAGAAGGCAAAGAGGCCAAAGCCAGAAACTCAGGGAATCAAAGCCAAGCGGAAGCCAAGTGCTTCATCCAAACCCCCCCTGGTGGGAGATGCAGAAGGTGCCATTGCGTCCCCCAGTCAGAAACCTCATGTCTGTGAACACTGCAGCGCTGCCTTCAAGAGCTCCTATCACTTGCGCAGACATGTGCTCATTCACACAGGGGAGAGGCCTTTCCAGTGCAGCCAGTGCAGCATGGGTTTCATCCAGAAGTACTTACTGCAGAGGCACGAGAAGATCCACAGTAGGGAGAAGCCTTTTGGGTGTGACCAGTGTAGTATGAAGTTCATCCAGAAGTACCACATGGAGAGACACAAGAGAACGCATAGTGGAGAAAAGCCATACAAATGTGACACTTGTCAGCAGTATTTTTCAAGGACTGATAGACTGTTGAAGCACAGAAGAACATGTGGTGAAGCCATAGGTAAAGCAGGGGCTGGAATGGAGCCCGGATCATCCAATAACATGGGTAGCTTGGCTGCATTGTCTCAGGGAAATACAAGTTCCTCAAGGAGAAAAAGTAAAACAAAAAGTACATCCAGTGAAAACAAAGGAAATAAGTGTAGCAGTAAAGTAACTGAATCACAAATTACAAGTAATGTGGCCATGCCAAATTATGCAGTTGATATTCCTATTGTGTCTTCCAGTGGTGGTCTAGTTGGCACAGGCGTAGAAGAACTTCAGAAGAAGGTGCCAAAATTGGTCTTGAAAAAAGGAAGCAGAAAACAGACAGACAAAAACTACCTTAATTTTGTATCACCACTGCCAGATATTCTGGGGCAAAAACCACTGTCTGGGAAACAGAGCGGCTCTCTTGGCCTAGTAGCCAATACTGGTGTAGAAACTATTGGCCTTCTCCAAAGTACAGGTGGTAAACCAGGTCAAATAAGTAGCAATTATGATGATGCCATGCAGTTTTCAAAGAAAAGAAGATACTTACAAACTGCAAGCAGTAACAGTGCCTTTTCAATTAATGTCGGACACATGACTTCCCAGCAGTCCGTCATCCAGTCTGCAGGTGTTAGTGTTATGGATAACGAAACTCCATTATCTCTTATTGATTCTGCATCTTTAAACAGCGAAATAAAGTCTTGCCACGACAAGTCATGTATTCCTGATGAAGTCTTACAGAGCCTTTTGGACCAGTACTCTCACAAATCAGAAGGCCAGAAAGAAGATCCTTTCAGTATAACTGAACAGCGTGTGGACTTGCACACCTCAGGAGAACATTCAGAGATGGTTCAGGAAGAAAACTTGAGCCCTAACTCTCAAACAGTTTCAAATGATAAAGCAAGCATGTTGCAAGAATACTCCAAATACCTCCAGCAAGCCTTTGAAAGAACAACCAATAGCACTGGTTTTGCTTTTGGACCCAGTTTCCAGTTTGTTAGTTTGTCTTCAACTCTCCATAACCACACTCTGTTTCAAGACAAACAGATATATACTACGTCACCACTCGAGTGTGGCTTCAGCCAATCTGTTACCTCAGTATTGCCAACTGCGTTGCCAAAACCTCCATTTGGGATGTTGCTTGGATCTCAGCCGGGCTTTTACTTGTCTGCTTTGGAGGCTACGCATCAACAGTTGACTCCTTCTCAAGAGCTGGATGATCTCATTGATCCACAGAAAAACCTAGAGACTTCATCTAACTACCAGTCAACATCTCAGAAACTGACTGGCCAGAAGGAACAGAAAAACTTAGAATCCTCAGCAAGCTTTCAGATCCCATCTCAGGAGTTACCTAGCCAGATAGATCCTCAAAAGGACATAGAGCCTAGATCAACCTACCAGATCGAGAACTTTGCACAAGCGTTTGGTTCTCAGTTTAAGTCGGGCAGCAGGGTGCCAATGACTTTTATCACTAACTCTAATGGAGAAGTGGACCATAGAGTAAGGACTTCAGTGTCAGATTTCTCAGGGTATACAAATATGATGTCTGATGTAAGTGAGCCATGTAGTACACGAGTAAAAACCCCAACCAGCCAGAGTTACAGGTAAGGTCCCGACTGTGACCAGGCTGTGGGGTCTTCTTAATGTAATTTTGTTTTACTTTGACAACACTGCCATTGGAATGTTTCTACACAGTCCTATCAAGAATAATGTAACATGCCCTTTCAATGCAACTTTTCATATTTAGTTTATTTTTAGTGTGATTTTTTTTTAGATCTGTTTATTACGGTTTTTAATCAAAAAATCAATAGATTAAAATAGTGGTTTTGTTCAAGTGACGATGTTTAGCAATCAAATTTGCATTCTATAGATTGTCAGGGAATAGCCCAAAAGATTAAAATGCAAAAAATTAACTTTGTTCCTAGGACTAAGGTTTATTCTAATTGCTTTACTCTCAGGAAAGTGTAATGGAACATGGGAATTCTATGCACCAGTAGTGTATTGGAACTTCCAATTTACAGATAGTGACAAATATATATCAGCTTTTTGAGGAAGGGATCTATGACATTTCAAATTGCTGTCTCTTATGTCTGGGCTGATATGAATTTTGCTACCTAAATC